CCAGTGTTAGCATCAACACACCTTGCTAAATTTGAAGAATACCCGTCGGGCATTCTCAAACCTTTTATCCATCCACAAACCGCTTTAGCTTCTTGGGGGGTCAGACTAAAACAAGCTTTGGGTTTAAATGATTTTCCATTTGGTTGAGGCTTCAATTCCAACTCTTTACGATTACACCAAATTTCCATGTCCTGTGTAGCCTTCACATTATCTTTTGTTTTGTCTTTAACATCCATCATTGTGTTAAATACGTTATCAAAAAAATTCTTTTCAATATGCATAAGATCAAGATTATGGCGCAACAAATTATCTTTCCAATACGGGAGATCCCAAAATATACTTCTTTTTGTCCAATTATGTGTGACCCCATATCCTTCAATTCTACATGCTTTGCGAGTATCTGTAAACTTTGGAAGTTCACAAACTTGGTTCCATATAGCAACTGGTGACAATCAAGGCGGAGGCCGGTCTATTACCCGTTTGTCCTTTTTGAAATTTGTCTTGTTTTTTCTAAAGGGATGATTTGATGGTAGGAATCTGCGGTGACAGTCAAACCACGAGCTTTTCCCCTCTTTATCCAATGTAAACGCCTTAGTGCATTCCATGCAATGCAGACAACCCATTCAGCCATGCGTACCCCAACCAGACAACATGCCATATGCTGGAAAGTCATTAATGGTCCACATCAAGGAAGCTCGCATAGAAAAGTTTTGTTTATGGGATATATCATAAGTCCATTCTCCATTATTCCACAACCTCTTCAAATCATCAATTAAAGGTTGTAAGTACACATCAATTCTGGTTTTTGGACTCGACGGTCTTGGAATAACGCACGTCAAAAACATGTATGGTTTTGTCATGCACATCTCAGGAGAGAGATTGTGAGGGGTTACAATAACTGGCCAACAAGAATACGCACTTCTAGACGCTTGGACATATGGAGCAAAACCATCAAAGCATAATCCAAGCCTGACATTTCTAGGTTCCGCGGAAAAATCAGGATGTACCTCATGAAAGTGCTTCCATGCATGGCCGTTAGATGGGTGTCGCATATTGCCTGGGCTTGTTTTGTTTGTATGATGCCATGTCATTTAACTTGCACTGTGCATTGAAGAAAACATTCTTTTTAACCTTGGTATTATCGGAAGATAAAATATAGACTTTACTGCTACACGTTTTTGCTTACTGTTAATGGCTCTATTGCGAACTTTATATATTTGACTCTGACAAAACTTACATTCCTCCGACGATCCATCTTGAGTACCAAACTCGTTGTCATAAAACAACATGCAACCATTAATGCAACAATTAATCTTTCTTACTCTTAAACCCAACTTCGACACCAACTTCTTTGCATCATAGAAACTCGCAGGCAAGTTGTCTTTCGTTGCAGTTGAGTCCAACATCATTTTTGCGAAGTGCTCCAAACACTGATCAGGAACATTCCAATTTGACTTGGCGGCCAATAATCTCATACACATTGATAGCTTTGAGTCTGACGATCCCTCAAACAACGGCGTATTCATCTCATTCAACAACTGATAAAATCTCTGCGCTTCTTTATTCGGCAACTCTTCCCCGTCAAAATCTTCTGGTTGATCATAGGTCACGTTAACACCAAAAGCATCATCAACCATGTCACATATCAGATTAAAGTTTTCCTCAAATTCCATAGGCGGTTGCATAGCCGGTTGACTACTTGAAGCATCTGTGTTGCTAGTCTCTGGTACATTACTCGGCAGTTTTTCACCATTATACGTCCAAACCCAATAATTTTCAATGAAACATTTTCTATGCAAATGACGTGTTATTTCCTCTAGGTCACTAATTATATATCTACACCCACATTTAAGACAAAGACACCTAACTCCTCCTTCACTTCGACAACGTTCCTGAGCAAACGTCCACGTCATAAAACCATTAACTCCGTCTATAAAATTGAGTTTAAGTGTGCATCTTCCTGGATATAGTCTATCGTACATCCAACTACGATAATACCTATAATATTCCATTTACTGTAAATTTATATAATCAAAACCTTTTTAATTAGAAATATTAATTAATCAACTTAATAATAATCCTAAACATATACTATTAAACATAAACATATGCTTTTACTTTAACTATTTTTAATATATAATGTTTTTTATTATATACTATTAAATATACTATTAATATAGTTTATTAAATATATAATAATTAATATAATATTTTTCATTGACATATAATATAGTTTTTATAAAACAATTTTTAATTATAAAACCATTTTTATTAACATACATATAATATATAATAATTAAATACATAATCCAATTTTTTATATATAATATTTTCTAACATACTATATATAATATTTTATTGACATTATATAATATTTTATTGATATTATATAATGTTTTATTGACATTATATAATGTTTTTTAACATACTACATTAATGTTTTATTGACATATAATATAGTTTTTATATAATATTTTTTAATTATAAAACCGTTTTTTATTAACATATAATACAGTTTTTATATAATTTTTTTAATTATAAAACAGTTTTTATTAACATTCTATATATATGATATATAAATATTTTTTATTAACATATAATACAATTTTTATATAATTTTTTTTAATATAATATTTTTTAACATTTTATATTAACATTCTATATAGATGATATATAACATTCTATATATCAGTTTTTAATATAATATTCTCTATATATAACAGTTTTAATATATATTCTATATAATATAACAGATTTTTTTATTAACATTCTATAATATAACATAAACAATTCTTATTATAACAGTTTTTATTAACATTCTATATATATATATATATATTTTTTTATTAAATATATATATTTTTAATTATAATTTTTTTTTATAATAATAACATTAAACAGTTTTTATTAAATATATTCATATTAAAACAGTTTTTTAAATATGTTTTTATTCAATACAAAAAACTATTTTTTTATATATGTTTTTAATCAATACATAAAATATTATATTATATTTGTTTTAAATAAAATATATATTAATATTAAAACTGTTTTTTATAAAATTTATATATTATTCTGTTTTTATAAATTAAATAAATCAAGATACATATTTAATGAAAATTACAATATTATAATTTAACCAAATTCAACCTAAAATCTAACTAAATTCAGAAAATATACTAAATGAAAAAAAAAATTCAAGAAATATCTCTTATCTTCTAACTCCTTCAATCTTCTTGTCCAACCTTTTTGCAATCTACTTCTACTATATCAGTCTTCTTCTATTCAAAGAAAAATTAAAATAAATTACAATCCCATAATACAATAAATAAAAACTTGTAAATAAAATAGAGACAAAATTAAATTTCATTTACCTGAAAAAACAAGGATTAATGGAGATTGAAGTTGGATTTCATATTGGAGAAGAAGAGATTTTATGAAGAAGAAGAGGGTTTAATGGAGGGATGGAATGAGAAGAGGGTTAATGAAGAAGAAGAGTTTTGAATGTTGATGATAACAATACTGTCTGTTTTGTGGAACGTGATGCAATTAAATGTATAAAGCATTTAGCAACGTGAAAATCACGCTGCAATGTTGTCACGTGACTTTCACGTCGCAACCATCCAAACAGTTATATTCTCTTTCTTCACATGCCTGCAAAAGCTGATCACGCCAATCTGTATTGATTTGATTTTTCCCTCTTAAATGTTGCGACATGAATAACACGTCGCAACTTACTTTTTCAAAATTTCAAAAACGCATCCATCTGAAAGTTAGACCAATTAAAATATTTTTTATTATATTTTTAGTGGTGACGTGAATCCCACGTCGCGACATTTTTTTTTTTAAAGTCAGACAACCACCAGACTTCTTTATTTTATTAATAAAACATGTTGTCACGTGATTATCACGTCGCAACTGGCTTTTTTTAGCCACATGATAATCACGTGGCAAAAACACGTGGCTGAAGATGATATTTCTTGCAGTGAATTGAGGTATAATGTATTTTATTTTTGTTTTAAATATTTAAGAAACAGCATCCCATTTCAAATTTTTTGAGTTTGTTTAAAAATATTTTTTTTGTTATAATTTTATTATTATTATTATTATTATTTATTTATACTAATTAATAATAATTATACTAATGTTTGTTTTATTTAAGGTATTATTAATATTAATTTCTGTCTTAAAAAGGAATGTTACGATCCATTCAGTTTCTTTTGTTTTTAAGAAAATATTTGTTCTCGATTTTAAATTATAAACATTATTATCAGCATCATTTATTTAACTATTATTTAAATTATAACTAATATTATTTTTATTAATATTTATTATTTTTTTATACGAATATCACTTTATAAAACTCTATTTTGTTTGTTGATTAGAAAGATATTTTTTATAAAAAAGTGGAAGTCTAATTCCAGCACTACAAGCCCAATACAAATCAGACAGAGGGCCGAAAAACATCCAAAAAGAGAATTTCATTGGAAAAAAAAGCACAGGCCCATTTATTGTTGTTCCAAAAAAGTGGCCCAAAACAAAACCAGTATCATCTGCTGTAGTAATCAAAAACGTGCGTGGTTAAAAAGAACTTGTTCTTCAAACGCGAAGACGGTAGCATTAAAATGCAGAAGTAGATCTCACAAAATTGGAAACACAATTCATTATATCAAAATCAAATTCAATAGCGTTCAATTTACAGACAATATTCAAATTGTTTGCTAAGAGCATTCAAACCTGAAGTTAATCCTAAAATCAAAGTTACAGACAAGTTAATTTTTTCCTAATTTACAAAAGCCTAGTAAAGGGTTATAAAATCAAGACGATTGGAAAAAGAGAGGTGAGGAGAAAAAATACAGTAGTGGAAGAGATACAGTACAGAAAAAATAAGAAATAAAGTACAAAAAAATAGCTTCGCAGTCACTCTCGCTCCATCCGACCTCCGCCACCAGCCTCCCTGTGCATAATCGTCGGACCCTTTACATCTCACCACTGTCAAACTACACCCACGCAAGGCCTACCGTAATTCCGCTCGACGCAACCGCACATCTGTCATCAATCTCCAGCACCGCGAATCGTGGCTTGATCCGCCGCACTCGTCCCACACCCTGTTGCGAGACAACCCTCTCCGTCGAACTCACTACGAGGCCGTCCTCCACGCCGACTGCTCGAACGCCTTCAATTCCCCTGTTCCAGCTGCAAACCGCCACCATATAGCAGCTCCGGCCACGCCTCTTCCTAGATCCGCCACCGAGAAAGTATTTGTTTATGGTGTCTGGGATCAATATTGACCATGTTGTTGTAACTGTAAAGAGAGAAAGCAAGGTAACGAGAGAGAGCATTAATCTGAGAGATTCTTGCTTACATTCTTTTCCTATTTTTTTTAAGAAATTAATTGCCACATGTCTCTATTAATTTGTTACTATTTATTTTGGGCTTTTGATAGGTCAATGCACAATTTTTTTACCATGAATAATTGAACGCATCCCCCACACGAATCCTGGAGCATATTAGGTCTTTTCCGTTCTTCTTTTTTTAATTTTAATTTTTAGTTTATTATTATGATAACTAATTGGGGTTCAATTTCGGATAGGCCCGATTGCATCTAATAACAACACCCCCTAATCCCCTTTGCAACCTCTACTCCACTTGTTTTTTCCAATTTATATACTTAGTTGTTTAATTTAGGTTTTATATTATGATTTTAGTCTAACCCATTTAGTTTTATTAATTCATTTAGTTTTTTGGTTCTTATTTAGATTTCTTAAACTACTTAGTTTTAGTTAAATCAATTTTTTTATTAAGAGAAAATTCAAAAACTTATACATAATTCAAAATTCAAAATTTAAAGCATTTCATAATAATAGGATGTCAACCTTCAAGTAATTAAATCGGTCGACACATCGCCTACCAGTTTATTATTCAAACATCAAAATATTAAAACTCGTGCGATTCACCAAATTTCTACATTCGAAGCGACACTTGGCCAATATCTGGCCACGTGATGAGGAGGCTATATCAGACTAGTTTGCTCTACGTATAAAAAAATACTCAAACAAACATCAGCCTATTTTTCGTAATAAATTAATTCAACATTAATTTTCGAAAAAGGAATGCGAATGTGTTTAATTAACTGCGTACTTGGTCTAACAAACTCCGCTTATTCATACTCTTAGACGACATATGTGAGAAATTCAAAATATATTTCGCAATCCATAAAAACACAAATCAAACACCGTGAACAACGAAAATGGAACTATGATTTCTCCTAGGAAGATACGTAGGCATACGATCAAAATCGTGGCGAGTCCCGCTAAATAAAATTCAAACCCTTTTTCCCAATAATAATTAAAAACCCTATTTCCTAAGATCGTGCTTCTAAACCTAGTATCCTTGTGAGAAAGGTAAATAAGAGGTGCCTAACACCTTCTCTTCGTCTAGAACCAAGTCCAAATCTAGAATCTCTGATTTTTAGGGTTATTTCTTTATACTCCCTTCCTTTAGGATAAAAATTAAGGGTGACTGTTGGCTGAAGATTTTGATAATGTTATTAGAAGCCAAATGAATTAAACGTTTTGATCGAAATGAGGTAAAGCGTCATGTTTCGAAGTAGCAGAAGCAGTGTTTCGAATAAGTATGTCAAAGCTTGGAGCTTCGAGTGGCAATTATGGGAACATATCTAAAGAAGTCTCGAAATAACAACAAGGCTGTGTCTGGGAAGAGCGTTCGAAACGGAGAAGTACCAAAGCATTTGAAATTCAAATGGAAGCGGGACTTTCGAAGTTTGAAAGTTATGTGCTGGAGCATTTGGGGACACGTGGAAAGACGAAAGAGGCATTGTCCTGCATGTTCTAAACGTGGCATAATCCTATAGCAAGACCGTTATGGTCGAATTAGTATAAATAGAAGTCTTAGTATTAGGATTTTGTGTGTCATATCTATTATACAAAATACTCAGTAACATTCAAACTACCACATGGTAAGGGAAACGAATGCAAGAGAAATGTATGTATGATAGCACCATGTATTTCTGATTTAATGAAAACCTTTTACCATTTCCAGCACTTTCCTTTATCCTTTTGTCAAATAACATTTACAAGTTTTCTCATTTACAGTCTTTTCACTTCGAGATCTCTTCTTCAAAGTTTTACATTTTAATGTTTTCTTCATATTTCAAGCACTTTATATCTCAGAAAACTGTCATATTTTCCATACCTTTACCTTCAAGTCTTATCCTTCGAACGCATATTTTTACTTAAAGTCATTTAAAGATTTCTTGCATTAAACGCTTTCTTCATATTTCAAACCTTTTACGTTCCAGAAATCCTTTATATTAACTGTTTTGTAAGTCGAAACCATTTACTTCACTTTTATGCAATTTTACATGTCTTTACAATTAGCATTTATTCATGTAACTTAGTCTTCACACACACATTTTGATTACATCTTTAGACTTTTAGAGAGAGAGAAATCGAAATAAGCCAAACACATATACAATATCAACCATGAATATCTGTTCGATCGTGAGAGTAACCTTAATATCCAAGGAGTCCTAGGATCAATCTAGTCGATCCTGTGAGTTACCAGAGGAATTGAATAACAGTCAGAAAGATTATTCGATAGCTTGGAAGACTAGCGGTTGTTTACCAGAAATCACTGGAAACAATGACGACTCTATTTAAAAAAACAGTTGCAACAGTTGACGACTCTACTGGGAACTCGACTCTAGGTTTAGAAGCCTTCGTCTATATCATCGTCCCTATCCTGTAGGGACTATTCGTTATCTTTCATTTGCCATAAACCTTAAAGAACTCCTACTTTTCTTAGTCTATGAGACAATGTAGAATATCATCAAATCGATATCTATATTTTAAGGAGTTTCTGCCTGTCTCAATTATCTGAGTCAGTGTAGGGTATCATTATGCCTATCTTTAAACCTATATATGGTACCCCTACATCTATCATCATACTACGTCTATGTCGCATTGCATATCCATGAAACTTGTTTTCATACCTAAACGCGAAAAATGTTTTTGCATTCCCATGTATTTTCGTACATTCACACATTTTCATTTCATGCATTTCCACCTTCACCCTTATCCAACTACCATCCATTTGCTAATCGATTTCTTGATACTCGCCAACTGTTGGCTGAAGATTTTGATAATGTTATTTAGAATTCAAAAAGAGCTAGAAGTTCTGATCGAAATGGAATTAAAACACCACGCTTCGAAATTGCAGAAGCAGTGTTTCGAATGAGTGTGTCAAAGCTTGAAGCTTCGAACGGTGATCTTGGGAGCGTATCCAAAGGGATCTCGAAACAGCAGTGAAGCTAAGTCTGAGAAGAGCGTTCGAAGCAGAGAAACACCAAAGCATTTGAAATTTAAATGAAAGCGGGACTTTCAAAGTTTGAAAGTTATGTGTTGGAGCATTTGAGGACACGTGGAAAGATGAAAGGAGCATTGTCTTGCATGTTCGAAACGTGGCATGATCTTGTAGCAAGACCGTTAGGGTCGAATTAGTATAAATAGAAGTCTTAGTGTTAGGATTTCAGTGTGTCATATCTGTTATACAAAATACTCAATAACATTCAAACTACCACATGGCAAGGGAAACGAATGCAAGAGAGATGTATGTATGATAGCACCATGTATTTCTAATTTAATAAAAGCCTTTTTACTATTTCCAGCACTTTCCTTCTTTTTCTTTCTGTCGAATAACATTTACAAGTTTCTTTATCTACTGTCTTTTCATTTCAAAGCCTTTTCTTTAAAGTTTTACATTTTACTGCATTCTTTATATTTCGAAGCACTCTATATTTCAGAGAACTTTTACGCTCTCAATACCTTTACTTTCAAGTATTATTCTTCAAGCATGTACTTTCACTTAAAGTCATTCCTAGATTTCTTGCATTAAACGCTTTCTTCACATTTTAAACTCCCACATTCCAGAAACCTTTTATGTTAAATGTTTTATGGGTCGAAACCAGTTACTTCATCTTCCATACAGTTTTATATGTCTTTTCAATCAGCATTACAATTAGCAATCATTCGTATAACTTAGTTTTCACATACATTTTGACCATATTTTAAACTCTTAGAGAGAGGGATCGAAGTAAACCAAACATTTGTACAATGGCACCCATGAATAATTGTTCGATTGTGAGAGTAACCTTGATATCCAAGGAGTCCTAGGATCAATCTAGTCGATCCTGTGAGTTACCAAAGAGATTGAGTAGCGTTAATAAAGATTATTCGATAGTTTGGAAGACTAGCGGTTGTTTACCAGAAATCACTGGAAACAAATTGGCACACCTGGTGGGACCAATAGTTGGATATCAGAATTAAGGATTGTCGAGACATAGCCATCCCAGAAACGTAGGAACCTAAGAAGTTTGCTGTTTTATGAACCTGAGAAGTGGTAAGATAACCAACAGCAACCAACCTTTATCCAGAAGAAAACGTTTGGACAAAATGTCTAATTCAGACAATCAACAGGGAGACCAAGGTGGCCCACAGGCAACAGGTACTAACGCGTCCATTTCGAGCGGAGCATCTAATGTAATCCCTTCGAATGCACAGGCTGTTGCATCTTCAACCAGTAACATGGCCACCAACGGAGTAAGTGGCGTATCAACCAACAGTTCGATCTTAGGAAATACTGGAACTATGGGCTACCCTGGGGGATTCGTTCCGCCACCTGGGACACAATCCCATTTCGCATCTCCATCAACTAGACCACCCGGCTTCGATGGGAATAGAATTAGAAGTTCTTCTTACGGAATGCCAACATCTTTTATGGCAGGTTTACACAATTCCACATCAAATTCATCCCCACAACTAGGATCTGGGTCTGGGGCAAACCAATTTATGTCAAATAACCAAGGGTCAGTGGGTTATAGCACGTTGCCTATCCTAACCACAGATAACCAGTTGGCTTTTAGGCAATTGATGGATGAAAGCAACCACAATATGATAGGGGTGTTAGCGCAAACCATGCAGGAAATATTCGCCCCAATAGTTCAGAATGTGACTGTGACGAACAGGGAAAACGCTGACAATATGAGTCGAATAGCAGATTTCTTTGCTCCCACAGAAAGGCGTAGGCAGAACCAGGCGGGATTTCGAACAAACGTGCCTGTTATAGAACAAATTGCCAACGACCCAATTCATAGACCACCCAGAGAAGAGGTTAACTTAGGGGCCAGAGCACC